AATTCCAGTACAGCAAAAAGTGTATCTGCAGAGAGCTCCGCTATTTCTGACAGTTCTCTGACAGTTCCTTCACATTTACAGCGGTTGAAACATTGTATCTATTTGTTTCCGAATAAAAACATCTGTATCCTAAATGGAAACAAATAGATACGATGTTTCAACCTGCCAGAGCCCTACAAAATGACCTCCAGCAGGCCACTGGTGTGAATGTCTCTGACCAAACAATCAGAAACAGACTTCAGGAGGGTGACCTGAGGGCCCAACATCCTCTAGTGGGCCCTGTGCTCACTGCTGAGCACCGTAGAGCTCATTTGGCATTTGCCATTGAACATCAGAATTGGCAGGTCCGCCGCTGGCACCCTGTGCTTTTCACAGATGAGAGCAGGTTCATCCTGAGCACACGTGACAGACGTGAAAGGGTCTGGAGAAGCCATGGAGAATGTTATGCTGCCTGTAACATCGTTCGTTGACCATTTTTTGTGGTGGGTGAGTGATGGTCTGGGGAGGCATATCCATGGGGGACACACAGACCTCTACAGGCTAGACAATAGCACCCTGACTGCCATTGGGTATGGGGATGAAATCCTTGTACCCATTGTCAGACCCTGTGCTGGTGCAGTGGGTCCTGGGTTCCCCCTGGTGCATGACAATGCCTGGCCTCATGTGGCATGGATATGCAGGCAGTTCCTGGAACACCTCTGAGATATCATGTTTCGGCCTATCCGACCCCGCCAGGTTGCACCTCAAACTGTCCAGGAGCTCAGTGATGCCCTGCCCCTGGTCCAGATCTGGGAGAAAAATACCCCAGGACACCATCCGTCGTCTCATTAGGAGTATGCCCTGGTGTTGTCAGGCATCCATACAAGCACGTGGGGGCCATACAAACTACTGAGTACCATTTTGAGTTGCTGCAATGAGATTTCAGCAAAATAGACTAGGCTGCTGCATTACTTTTTCACTTTGATTTTCGGGGTGTCTTTTGATTTGCGGGGTGTCAGTCCTCTGTAAGTTGATAATTTTCATTTCCATCAAACAATAGGGCATCCTTACATTCCTAACACATTACCCCGTCCATATCAGTATAGATATCCAGCATGATATTTTTCCCCATTGAGGTGTGTGTGTGTGTGTGTGTGTGCGTGCGTGCGTGCGTGCGTGCGTGCGTGTGTTTTTAAGTCCCCTTAACACTGAGCTGTCTCATTGGGGTCTCCTTCCTCCTTGCTTTCATCTCCCTCCTGCACATAATTTTTTTTAAACATTCCTCTTATATGTGCCTAAAATTGATCTTCTAGGTTGTAATGTGATTTCCTGGGCCCCCTTCCACTTCTCAGTAGCAACAGTTCTTCACTACTACATGGAATTAAGCTGATGTTTTAACAGTATTAGTGACAGTAATGTAGCTCTACCCCCTAAGGAGCTGTTGCGTTTATGGGTCTCCCTATTTCTGCACAGCCTGGCAACAATGACCAGTTCTTGGGCTTGTTTTTGTTGATTTATTAAGGGTAAACAACTTGAATAGGGATTGGGTATTATGGGATGCCCAACTTGGTGAAAAAAAACTTGAGGACAAAACTTCTTACACTTGTGTACAAAATAAATGGAACCTTACTCCAGCCAGAGTGGTATCAGTCCCTTTAAGGATCAGTAGCCTTTTGGATACAAAAAAAAAAAAAAGATCAGTAGCCTTGCTACTCTAAGGAGCACTAAGTCCCCTTGAACAAACTCTCAAAGAACACATTAGCAATACTACCAGCCCACCTGGCTGCCTTGAAGAGTGTCACAGAGCAAAAGATTTAGGTAGTTGTGACACTGTCCTAATGAGAAGCTTACTGGATATTGCATCTGGCAGCCTCTTCCCTTGTAGGCCTTGGAGGTGGGGTGTAGAGGTACTCACACAGTCCCTTGCATCTTGCTGGTTTGGATGAGCCTGCTTCCAGACCTTTTGCTGTGCTAGTCTTTCCCAGGCTAGGCAGGCTGTCTTCTCCTTCAGACTACAGGATAGTGAAGATCCCTCTTTCCAGTTTCCTTTCCTTCCCTCTCCTTCCTTAGCTCTAGCCTGAAGGCAAAACCCCCCTTCCCCAGGGTCCCCTTCCAGGCCTCACAACCCTCAGCACTCAATCTTCCACCTGCTCACCAAACTAGACTACTCCTCACTGACCAGGCTTTTCAATATTTATGGGCTGACCCAGCCACCTTACCAGGCCTCCTGCCTGGGGATTGGCCAGATTCCCAAAAACATGCAGATCAGAGCCTCTTGGCCTCTACCCACTAGCTTATGGAATCTTCTGGGAGACTCTAGAACCAGGAGGAGGTACCAGAGGCCTGACCTGTAAATCCCTCCAGCCTGACCTAAAGTAAACCCAAAGCAATTCCCCAGACTCACCACACTACTGTGTGTCATTAATTTTTCCTCACTCTCACTCTAACCACTACAATGATATTGAATCCAGGTGATCCCAGGCCAATGTGGTGATGCACCCACATGTAGCTCACTGGAAGCATGTTGAATGACATTTGCCACAATTCAACCTACAACAAGACAGGTGGCTGGCTATGGAGCAGAGTGTCCGCAGTGGCCAGAACCGGAGACAAATTTTTTTTTACATGATTTTTTTAGTTTTTAACTGGACATCTGCTTTAATGTGTGGTATTTTATGTGTCAACGTACATTGAGTTAAGGTAGCCCATTAACTCAGAATAGGCTGCCAACCCATGGCAATGGAAGAGGAATCAGACCACCACTTTTTTTTTTCTTTTGCATGGCATATATTTTGTAGGTCCATTGGTACCTACTGTCCTCGAGCATTGTAGTGCCATTATAAATGAATGGCACCACAATCCACCACGTGGAGTGCTGAGCATTTCAGTAACATGCTGTAAAATCACATGTTGCCACTACACAAAACTGTTAAGCTATTACACTTAGAACATGATGCATTTTTGCATGTTTATGTGTATTAAACAGGCCCAGCACACTGTGCAGATGTAAACCAGCAATATAGGAATAATGGTACTTCTACCTGAAATGCGTTTTCATAGAGTAAAATGCATGAGGATTTCTGCAGGAAAACAGACAAGTGCAAAGTGAGGAGTAGCTATAACCTCTTTAAAGAAGACGCCTCACTACACATTTCTTTATTGCTCCTTTCCCCAGATGACAAAGTGCATATACTGTACAACTTTCTCCCATGTTTCTAGTTTGTCTTAAAGTGTTCCTAAACCCAGGACCCTGCATTCACTATATCTGGTCTCCCATAGTACACAGAGCATGGAAATGCAATTATTTTAGTAAATATAAACTGTGAAATACCTTTTCTCATCAGCAGTATATAGCAGTCTTGTGACTTCTATCAGTATCTGGCTGAGCACTGGTTCAAGTTCATTCTCTGATTGTCTTTTGAGGCTGCATGACTTCTGACCCTCTGGCCTGACAGTGCTGATTGGCCTGCACCAATCACATGCACCCTCCCCCCAAAAAAAACTCTTTAGCAATACACACCAAACTGAGCATGTGCAGAGTGCCTCCCAGGGCTCTGTGCTATCAGTGGATTGATTTGGGGACAGTAAAATAAGGGGAGGATCAGAGAAGACAGGATTAAACAGACTTTTTACAAAATGTGGAGGATTATCCCCTTAGGTTCCACAGTGAGAATAGCAGGCATGTTTTACTGCATATACAGACTGGTTTTATTGTTGTGGGTTTAGTAACACTTTAATGCTGAAATAGTATGTTTGACAGTTGGCCCTTCTTCCCCCATTGCTTTCCAGTCATGCATCTAGTAAGGAGAAAAATATTTAACAAGCTGCACCTGACAGTGCTTAACCTTGCCCAAGATAAGAATATCATAATGTATGCAAGGGGAAGGGGCATATCATCTACAGTCTTCTCATTGGTCATTAGGATGTAGGCAGCCGGGCTGCACAGTTTCATTGGTTGCTAAGACACAGGTGGCTGTACTGCCTAGTCGCCTGCACCATAACAACCAATGATGCCGTGTGGCCAGGCAACTGCATCCTAGTAATCAATGATGCTATGGAGCCTGGCCATCTGTGTCCTAGCTACCAATGAAGCTGAATTATCGGGTGGCAGACCCAGCTGAGCCTGCCTGAAAAGAGGAACGATGACAGGAGACCAAGATATTTCATTAGTGATTCCGGGAGGGAAGAGGAGGGAAAGTAGAGAGCGACATTGGCTGCAGGAGGTGGCAAGCAGGAATTAGTGCAGGAGGCCAGCAGACTGAATACAGGTACCAGAGAGTAGAGGACAAGAGAAGAAGAATGAGACTGGCAGCTGGAGGCTGGTAAGAGGAATGGATGCAGGAGGACATAGCAGAGGGAGCTGTAGCTACTGGACTTTGCTGTTCTTCTTCCATAGGAATGCCCAGCAATAAGGCTACATACAGGAGTGGAGCTCACAGACAAGAAGTGCTTTTCAGTCTAAAGGTTCTGCATATGGTTTCTGAAACACAGATGATGTATTTTACACAAATCACTGAAACAACAAGTAAGCTTTCAGTCCTTTTGAGACTTATTCTAGAAGTATTTTTTGCACTCTGAAGAGATTTCCCTTCACTTCCTATTCAGAACACAGAAAGTGAGTGGAAATAATTCTAACTTTAACCACTAGCCTACAGGGCACTTATACCCCCTTCCTGCCCAGGCCAATTTCCAGCTTTCAGTGCTGTCGCACTTTGAATGACAATTGCGCGTTCATGCAACACTGTACCCATATGACATTTTTATTATTTTTTTGTGACAGATAGAGCTTTCTTTTGGTGGTATGTAATCACCTCTGGGTTTTTTTATTTTTTCTTAAACAAACCAAAAACCACTGAAAATTTTGTAAAAAAAAATGTTTTTTCTTAGTTTTTGTTATAAAGGTTTGTAAATAAGTGATTTTGCTCCTTCACTGATGTCCGATAATGAGGCTGCAGTGATGGGCACTGATAGGCTGCACTGATGGACACTGATAGGTGGCACTGATGGGCACTGATGAGGAGGCACTGGTAGGTGGCACTGTTGGGCATTGACATGCATCACTGATGGGCACTGAAAGGGAGCACTCATATATGGCACTGATAGGCGGCACTGATAGGTGGCACTGATAGGAAGAACTGACTGGCACTGATAGGCAGCACTGACTGGCACTGATAGGTGGCACTGATGCACACTGATAGGTGGCACTGATAGGCGCGGCACAGACTGGCACTGATAGGTGGCACTGATTGGCAGCACTGATAAGTGGCACTGATTGGCATTGATAGGTGACGTTGACTGGCACTGATGGGTGACACTGAAAGGCAGCTCAGATGGGCACTGATATGTGGCATTGATGCGGCACTGATGAGCACTGAAATGTGGCACTGATGTGGCACTGATGGGCACTGGCAGGTGGCATGGATGAGCACTGAGAGCTGGCACTGATGGACACTGACAGGTGACACTGCTGGGGCTACACAGATCATCAGGGCACACTGATCATCAGTGCTCTGATGATCTGTGTACATGTCCCCTCCGAGGAATGCCGATCACCGTCTCTCCTCACGAGCTGTCAGCGTGACGGCTCGCGGGGAGAGAAATGACGATAACCGGCATTTCCCTGTTTACATGTGATCAGCTGTGATTGGACACAGCTGATCACATGACCGAGCCAACATCTTAGGCTCTTTCCGTGGATCGGTGATCCGCTGTGTCCGAGGGACACATCACACCGCCGGTCGCCGCGCTGCACGCTCCGGAAGCCGCACATGCGCGGTTAGAAAGGTAGGACGTCATATGATGTCCTCCCAGAACGAGAGAACCACCTTGCGTCCGTCATATCACTATATGGCGGGCGGGAAGCGGTTTAATTAAATTCTCTCCTAATACTCTTTGTAGTGCACCCCCTAAGGAGGTGCTGGTGAATGTGGTCCTTTTTCCTCCTTAAAGTACACACAGCCAGGCACATAGCATTTTCTTCATTCTTCCACTGGCTCAGAAAACAGTCTAGGGGGTTCTTTTTAGAGCTTTTATTGGGTTCAATGAACTGGGATAGGGAGAGGGAGCATAAGATACCCTAAACTGGAAAACTGGATAGCTTGACTTCTGGCTGTACTTCACAGAGCTGCTGGCTGCACTGCACTGACTACTGGCTGCACTGCACAAACAAATGATTGGCCCACAGGATCTCTTTTGCTGTAGGTGACCTGTACTCATTCTAGAGTTAAACAAAGTTACACACAGGGGTCTCCTCCTGCAGGACTGGACCCAGGAACACTGCTGCTCGCTGCTCAAGTCTCACACTGTGGGTGGGAACAATCCCTTGCACATGGGGAAACCTTTCACCATACACATGCTCACCAATGCCCAGGACTAAGTGGGGACCGCTTCCATGTTATAGTCAAACATTATGCCAGCTCCCCTGCTTAGAGATGAGCTATGCACTGTGTGTAGTAATGTGACAAGCAGAATACCTCTGTAAAGCCTTCCATCCCATGTCATTGCATACCTTGTCTGTGAGTTGTTACATCAGAAGGGACACCTCTGAGCCTCTGCCCTCTCCACCCATTCAGAGTACCTCTGTCACCTCAGTCCCAGTGACAGAATGGGGTCCCGCCGTGCACTTGTTAACTCATTCACTCCCATATCATGTGGCCATAACAAGAGAAACCCACCACTGGGGAGGGAGCCAGATCACCGACTCCCCCACTACGAGAGGACCTGTCACCTACACCAGGCACCATGCTTCATGACAGGCTGCAATGTGCCTTGCACATGGCAACTGTTACTTCCTCCCAACCCTTTGTAGTGTCTTTGCTTCATACCCCACTTGTGCTTTACTGGCCCTAGTTCTTTCAAACACCAGTAACCATCATGCACCTTTTTAAAGTAACTTCAGACTAGGCTTAGAACAGTTGATACAACTTTAGTGAATATTCTGCAACACAGTTCAACATGAACAGTTCAATGCAACATTTTCTAACTATCTCAACTAAGCTTCCCAGGAATACCTCAGCAAGGTGATAGTAAATATCTAGTGTTTCCCAAGGCCTGGCAGTTCTCTGGGTGCCTTCTGAAGGACTGCACGGCGCACCAGTCCCCACTTGGGAGTTCCACAGCAAGCATGGCATCTTCATGAGTGGGCCAAAGCTCTGAAGCTTGGCCTTCCCGTTTATTTATATCACAGGGTGGATAGACTGTGTCCAAAAGCCCAGAAACAGATGTAAAGAACATTAAACCCTTCACCAGCCTGGGCCAGCAAACTAATGCACTGTAGGCAACCTGCCCTCCCCTTTTCATAAGCCGTCCTGGCTACAGCTAACCCACAAAACAAAGCTACAACAAGGAACAGCAACAGTATAATATACAGTACAGGTAATAGACTCTCCCATGACAGGGTGCATTCCCTTGACCTGTCTAAAAGACTGTTTATGTCCCCTCTCACCACCGTCACCTATAGATATTCAGGCTGCTCAATATGTCCTTTCTCTCACTATGTTTCTAGAATCCTCTAGAAGACATGAGGAGAGGTAACAGTGTCAGTGAAACATTGAGCAACACTAACCAATCAACCCCCCACTCCTCTGATTACAGGGGAGCAAAGCTAAATATTCCTAGTAGCCTACTCTATACTAGGAGGGTGCCACATGGTTTACTACCAACTGGCTCAACAAACATTGATTGAAAAAAGGGGTGGAAAATTGAGGGTCCAAGAGTAATGGTATCTTATCAGATGCAGTCACTGTCTAACTTTTCAGTCAACTGTGGGTGCTGAGATTGTCTTAATAGAACAACCTGTAGGGGAGATTTGCCCTTATCTGTTCCCTCAAATTTTGGATTTCCCATTGCTTTGTGTTCCAGTGAAAATGGTGCCCAAGAAAAACAAAGAGTTTGAATCTCCCCGGTGGTGCCACAGACAGCAATACAAAGTGGTATAAAAAAGTTTTGAGACTAGTTTTTTTAACACACCAACAGATGACAGCACAAGGCTGCAGGCACAGTCACAGGAAGCACTGACCTTCATAAGTTATCGGCTAGCTGTGTAACTGGTGCTATTCTGACCATGTGTGTTATCATGTCTGCTATTTCATCATGGATAGCAAGTTAAACCAAAGAGCAAATGTGAAATTCTGCGTGAGACCTGTACATCTAAGTTTCATCACTGGTAATGATCCTTGACATGAAGGACGGGTCATCCACGGCATGCTGACAGAGTTCTTGGCAGATTTCGAGGTGGTGTTCTTTCTGCTCTTGGGTCAGCAGCCTGGAGACAAACCTGGCAGAAACATGGCGCATGTTCAAATCACACCTGAGAATTGCCTGGACTGTTCTGTATGACACACCAACAATGGCAGCAATGTTGTGGATTGTTCTCCAATGATCATCATACACAAGTTGCCAAATGGTTTCAAAGTTTTTGGGGGTTGAGCTTGTTGAAGGTCTTCCTGATCTCTTGTCATCTTCCAGTAATGTTCTTCTGATCTTCAAGTGTGCATTCCACTCAAAACACCTCAAAGGACTCATTGCAACATTGCCATAAACTTGCCGAATCATGTCAAACGCCTCTGTGGCAGATTTGCCCAGTTTCACACAGAATTTCACATTTGCTCTTTGTTCTAACTTCCTATGTTGAAATAGCAGATGCTGTAACACACGTGGTCAGAATAGCATCAGTTACACAGCTCCCGATGTACACAGGACAGTGTTTTTTGGCACGCTGACTTATGAAGGTCAGAGCTCCCTGCGACTGTGTGTGCAGCCTTGTGCTGCCATCTGTTGACGTGTTACAAAACTTATCTTGAAAATTTTGGATACCAGCTCGTACATTCCTAATATGCAGTCAGTTTTAGTAATGTAGTTTTCACAGTATTATTAGTGTTGTATAAAAGATTCAATCCTATAGAGTTTATGATTGATTTATGATGCACACATAGTGGTTGTAGGATTTGAGTGCAGAGGGAATTGGTATTTAAGTGCAAAATCTTGGGTTTTACTAATATATATTTGGAGATATTGCAAACATCATAGTTACATAGTTAATCTGGCTGAAAAAGACAAAAGTCCATCCAGTTCAACCATAAAAAAAAAGTTATAATCCTACACCCACAGTTGATCCAGAGGAAGGCAAAAAAAACCCAGCAAAGCATGATGCAATTTGCTCCTGCAGGGAAAAAAATTCCTTCCTGATCCCCCCAGAAGCAATTGGATATTCCCTGGATCAACCTTACCTATAAATGTTATATCCAGTTATATTCTGTGTATCCAAGAAAGAATCCAGGCCTTTTTAAAGTAATCCACTGAGCTGGCCAGAACCAACTCTTGAGGGAATCTGTTCCACATTTTCACAGCTCTAACTGTGAAGAAACCTTTCCGTGTTTGGAGATTAAATTTCTTTTCCTCCAGACATAAAGAGTGCCCCCTTGTCCTCTGTGATGACCTCAGGGTGAATAGCTCTACACCGAGTTCACTATATGAACCACTGATGTATTTATACATGGTGATCATATCTCCCCTTAATCTCCTCTTCTCAAGAGAGAATAAATTCAGTTCCTCTAATCTTTCCTCATAGCTGATCTCCTCCATGCCTCTTATCCGTTTGGTTGCCCTTCATTGTAATTTCTCCAGTTCCCCAGTGTTCTTTTTGTGAATTGGTGCCCAATACTGAACTGCATATTCCAGATGAGGTATTACTAATGATTTGTACCGGGGGTAATATGATATCTCTCTCTCTGGAGTCTATACCTTTATTAATACAAGAGAGGATTTTGCTCACTTTAGAAATCACAGCTTGGCATTGCATGCCATTATTAAGCTTGTGATCTACCAGAACTCCCAGATCCTTCTCCACCATTGATTCCCCCAGTTGTACCCCCCCTAGTATGTATGATGCATGCATGTTCTTAGCCCCCAAGTGCAGAACCTTATATTTATCAACATTAAACCTCATTTGCCACATAGTTGCCCAATTACACAGTGCATTGAGGTCGGCTTGTAAATTGGAGACATCCTGTAAGGACGTTATTCCACTGCACAGCTTGGTGTCATCTGCAAAGACTGAAATGGGATTTATAATCCCAGACCCTATATTTTTTATAAATATATTAAAAAGTAGAACATCAACTTCTTTTTAAAATTGATCTACTCACCAACAGACTTAAGAATATGGGCAATAAAATAGTGGTTATCACGTGAGATCTTACAATAGATTACAGAGATTTTATCACTGGATAATAAAAATATCAGTGAATTTTATCAATTCTCATGATGAAATCATCCTGTCTTATCTTGTCCCCATGTACCTTTTAATCCCTCACATTACTAGCCAGATAAAAATCTTATCAAGGAATCTAAATGGCTCGTTGGGAGGACAACCTTTGTTTCACCTCCATCCTGCCTCATGTAAGATTCTTTGATTTTTTGCTAGATAATCAGCCAATATCTTGGATTGCTGAATTATCAA